ACTTTCTAAACCTTGAACAGTAGCGGGTAGTAAAAAGTTGTGTCATTCCTCTCCCACAGGCACCCTCCCCTCACAACATTCCCACAGCTCCACAGCTGGGATGCTTACAGGGCCCATATATTTGGGGACAAGAGTCCCAGCATTTCTGGGACAGTGGGCCCTCTCCTGCATACTTGAAGCCTTGAGATCAATGGAGATCTACTATTGATAAGTTGACAGTGGATGCAGTGAAGGGGCGTGTCAGTAATCCCCTCACAGTCAGCAGCCCTCCCCCTGAAGGACCTTAATCCCCTTGTTGCTAACAGCCAGTGGTTGGGGAACAGTGAATTGCCTCTTCAGATTCTAAGGAGGCTGTTCAAGGTTAGAGCACCAGACTGTTCCCTGGAGTCCCTCCTTTTAGCTGCGCCCTAATTCCTGCAGCCCCAGGCCTGCCCCTCCCCTGCTCCGTAACAGAAGGGGCTGATGAAGCCTTCCAAAGCTGTGGCTGAGGTCTCAGGGAAACAACCCTTTGATACTTAGAAGTGATGAACTTTCCAGCAATGGGAGGAGGGAGCCAGAATGGGTGCAGAGGAGAAATGAAACTATTGGACCTTAGGCAAAAAATAAGAAGGTCCAGAGAGATTTCTGTGCACTAATTTCACAAACAGGTATGCCCATTCTAGCTGTGGGGAAGAGGGATGTGGCCCCTCTAGTACCAGGGCTTCAATGGGAAACGCCCTCCTTCGCCACCCCACACTGAGCTGGGGGCTGGGAGAAGGGGAATTCACTGATCTTACCGAGATCAGCAGCAAACATTTGCTAAGCACCTACAAACGTGTAGCATATTATGTTGGACAATACAGAATATAAAAAAAACATAAAAACCTTCCAGTTGAATTACAGCCATTTTTTAATTTTTTTTAGAAAAGAAACATAAGATGTCTTTGACTGAAAACCCATGCCGTCTGGTTAGATGGATAGGAAATGAACACACAAAAGAATGAAAGTATTCCCATCTAATTTAATCTAAGACACCACTGAATGTAAGAGGCACCATTATTTTTTTAACTCAGAAAGAAAAGCACAGCCAATTAAACCCACATTAACTGTACATGGATCCCAATTAAAGAGGTTAACATGGGAGGTGGGGGAGACAATTGATTTTTAAGAATCAAGAATACCTATACAAGAGTACATGTTAAATCGTGAGCAAATCAAACAGACAATAAAAGCATTCAGGAATTCTGAGGGAACTGCACAAGGGGGGTTCAGGCAAAGCGGGAGAAAACAGGGGCTGGGCCTGGCCAGGGAAGCTGTGCCTTGGGTCAGAAGGAGGGCGCTCCAGGAAGCCGACGCCCTGAAACTGAAGCCAAAGATGCACAAGGGGGTGCGATGTTTTATGGACAAGGAGCTGCGCCGTTAGGGTGGGCTGAAGGTTAGTGCGATAAGGTAGTGAGCAGAGGTTGGACGGGAGGAAGGCCTTCCATAAACCAGACGCTGGTAAGACCAAAATGGTCTGTGGGGTTGCACCCATCTCATCCCTGTTCTGGCTCTGGAGGGGACAAGTTTTATGTAGCAAACCAGCTGGAACCCCACCATGTTTGTCACTCACTCATTCATTCATTCATTCAGCAATACTGATTGAGCATCTGCTAAATTCAAAGTGCTTTGGAGGAAACAAATGAATCATGTCAATGCTGCCCACTAAAGGAGATATTGTTTACTATCTCTGAGATAGGTGTTGCCATGACCCCCGTTTTAAAGTTGAGGACACAGGTGCAGAGAGGGCAGGTAACTTGCCAGCCTCCTCCTCTGGTCAGTGGCAGAGCTGGGATTCAAATCCAAGCATCCTGACCTAGAGCCCTCATTGCTGGAGACGCTGTTCCCGAGGGCAGTGCAAAGCAGAACCCTCGAGCAGCTCAGAGATGGGGCAGTCCTGCTGGCTGCAAGAGCAGAGGAAGGGTGACAAGGATTTGATTTGTGGCACTCTAGACAGCATGAGACAAGACATAAGCTCCATACAGGGGACAGTGAGCAGTAAAGATTTCTTGGATCAAAGAAATTATAGAAATAAAAGGCTTGTTTGTGTTGTAAAAAGATCTTGAATGTCAGGGGCTTTAGACAACTGCGAACTAAGAAGAATCCCCGATGGCTTCTAATCGGGGATCAGATCTGTGCACTAGGAAGAGTAATTTGCAATCCTCTGTAAGGTGGGCCATAAAAAGAAAAAACTGGAATCAGAAAGACCCATTAGAAGGTTATTGCAATACTCGAGATAAAAGGACTTTTGACCCAGGCTAATGCTGCAGTTAATTCATGGTATTTGTTTTTTATTAACCTCAAAAGGATGTATACTCCACCCAAAATACATTAGGGTCTTTGACCTATGAATTATCTAAGCTTTCATAAGCTTTTGTTTACAACCTTGGCATATTCTAGCATCATTTGTTCTAAAACAATTGCCTTTGGTTTTCCACTAGCAGCACAGGATGGGGGAGAGAGTGGGATTGGAGGGGAGGCCCAGGGATGGAGGGCCAGGAGGCCAGCAGTCACCTTTCCCAATCTTGGTAAACAAACATGTATTGTCCCTAATTTTTTCTCTCCAACCTTTTTTTCCCTACCTTACAAATCCTGAATTTTAAACTGTTTTCCTGTGATAGCCACCCCCATCAAATTGTAAACCTGGAAGAGACTTGTGTGATCACCTAGCCCAAGCCTCATGTTTCACAGATAAAACTCTGAAGCCCTGAGAAGGAAAGGGACCCATCTCAGGCTACACAGCCAGTGAGTGGTAGGACGTGCCTCTGATCCTCTTAGCTCCTCTGACCTGCACCATCTCTGGCTCTCGCCTCAGATGGGCAGGCAGCCCCTAGAGTGACTCCATTCCTGAGCCGGGAATTTGTGACTTTGTAATAAGAGAGAAAATGTTTTACTCGAGTTTTCAGTGGGGATGAGCATCATTCTGCAGATCTCTTTGGCCGCCAGAGTCTAACAGGGCACAGGGTGGCATCTGCAGTATTTCAGGTGCCTCATCAACAGTTGTCTTAAAAGTTCCTGACTGTGAAGGGAAGTTTGCCTGCTGGACTGTCGTCCCCTGATTAAGTTTCGAGCTATTCAGTGTGGAATTAGGAGACAAGTCTTTTTGGTTGGGGTCAGGGGCAACTTACCACCAAATGCCTACTGGCAGTTTCCATTCGGATGTTCCACCATCACCTGAAACCCAACATTTCTTTCAAAACCTTATCACCATTGGAGTGATAAGGTTTCCCTTTCATCACTCACTGACATCCAGACTGTAGCCTTGTGGGCCACCCATATTCCCTCCCTCTCTGCCTCCAGCAGTCAGTCACCGAGGGCCACTTGGTCTTTCCTTAATGCCTCTTGTTTCTGGCTCTCCTTTCCACTCCTATGGCGTTCTGCTTGGAGCTCTGCTGGACTGTGATGACGTAGCTGGAAACTTGCATGCGTATAGACAAAATTCAAGAAAGAAGGTATCTCCCCCACCCAGTTTGAAATCCGCTTCCTTTGCCCCTGTGAGCATCACAGGATCCTTTTTAAACAGCTCACGATCCAGAATTTTCCTTCATCCTCACTGGCTGGGAGCCTTTGGTAGAAATCCACTTGTGAGTGCCCAGCTGTGGCCCTCTGTGCCTGTGTGGCGCCACTTGTCCCTGCTGGCTCTCCAGCTGTGGCAGTCTCTGTGCAGGGCCGCCTTTAAAGGACAAATTCAGCTGAGCCGGGGCCAGGGGCAACTTACCACCAAATGTCTACCAGCAATTTCCTCCCCCTCACGCGAACGGGCCTGGATGCCGCTAGACAGAGAGCGAGCCGGTGAGGACAGCTGATTTCCGAGGGAATTTCCTGCCGCCCTGCTGTATAGAAGGGCATGAGCTAGGCCCTGAAGGGAGGGTCAAGGTGTAAGAATCCCCACCTCAAACAATCAGCCTGGATGAAATGGACAGCGAAAGGCCGCAGCCAGTGGCAACAAATGAATTCACTCCAGGAAAGTAAGTTTACTTACTTACCACCCACTAATGTCAGGCACGAGGTTCTGGATAGAGATACATGACAGCTTTGACTCCAAGGGGTACATGGTCTGGAAGGGAAGGTACCTAAGAACAATTACAGTCCACTGTAATACAGCTTATTAGGATAGAGGTAAGCCTGAGAAATTTTGGGAGTCCAAGCCAGGACTGAAATAATAATTTTAATTATAGCTAGAAATGATTGGCCAGGGCTGGGGGCCGGGCACTGTGCTGCACATATCACGTCATTGTCTCTCATTTTATTTGCACAGTGTTTTTTCTTATTTCATCCTTACGACAGCTTTCTGGGTAGGAACTATTTTTATTTCAAGTCTTTAGACAAGGAAGCTGAGGCCCTAAGAGGTTAAGCACCCGGCCCAAGGTCCCATAGTATGTGACAGAAGGACCTGGTGGCCCAGCNTCTTTAGACAAGGAAGCTGAGGCCCCAAGAGGTTAAGCACCTGGCCCAAGGTCCCATAGTATGTAACAGAAGGACCTGGTGGCCCAGCCTGGTCTGCCTCCTGCCACAGCCTGAGGCCCACTGTGTGCAACTGGCGCTTCCTGGAGGAGGCCAGCCTGAGCAGAGCCAGAGGTGAGCAAGAGGTAGCCAGGCAGAGCTGGGGGGCGGCGGGGCACTGCCTGTATTGAAGGCATGGAAAAAAAACAAGCAAAGGGCTTGGAAGAGAGAGAGCATGGCACACTGAAGAACCCAGTGTTCCTCTGAACAGCTGGAATGATCAAAGAAGGCTTCACAAAGGAGGTGAGTTTTGCATTGGGCTGTGAGGGACAGCCAAGGGTCCAGTGTTGGGAGGAAAGCAAGAAAACAGAGAAAATCAGGCCATGGCAATGACCAAGCCAAGCCTTAGGTGAAAGGTGAAAGCAAGCGACACTGACTTTGGGCAGCCTTCTTTATGTGGATGTGGGAGGGGCACAGCTGGGGGACATAGCAGGAGACGAGGTCAAGCCATGCCACCTGCCCTGGTCTTTCCCCTTCAGCCTATGCCCAGCTGCAGCCACACCAGCTCCTCTCGCAGCCGCCTTCAAAGCACCTGCAGCCCCAGTTTGTGATCCAGCAGCAGCAGCAGCCAGCACAGCAGCAGCAGCCCCAGCAACCACGGCCCACCCTCCAAGCCCAGTCCCACCCCCAGCTCGCCTCAGTCCCTCCGAGCCTGGCCCTGCAGCCCAGCCCCGAAGCCCATGCCATGCCTCTAGGCCCAGTTACATCCACCCTGCCTCTCCAGTGCCCCGCCGCCAACCTGCACAAGCCTTGCAGCGCACAGCATTGCCGCCCTTCCACACCAGACGCTGGGCCTCACAATGGATATCCCGAGGGCCTGTCCCACACCCCTCAGCGCAGGTTCCAGCACGCCTCCACAGTCATCCTACAGCTCCAGCCTGCTTCACCAGTGGTGAGTGAGACGATCCCAAGGCTCAGGGAACAAACGGGGGTGCACGGCTCAGGTAATCCCACAGCCCATGTTGGGATGCGTTTCTGGGCGGGCTGAGTGGTGAAGTCGTCTCTGCGAAATCCGAGAAAGAGGGGCCCCTCTCTGTTATGCGGCTGGCTAAATCTTAATGTCCTTGCCTTCTACCCAGCTCCACAGAGACAGGGCAAGTGTCCAGAATGTAAAGGCAGTTCACAAGAAGATCACCTCTGTCCTGTCCCTTAACAGCCCCAGCAGTGCACCCCAGATGACTGGAAGGAAGTGGTACCGGGGGAAAAGAGTGTGCCTGAGGCTCGGTCCGGCCCATCACCGCATCAGCAAGCCATCGTCACTGCCATGCCCGGTGGCCTGCCCGTACCCAGGAGCCCTAACATCCAGCAGTCCCCAGCTCACGGTATGAAGTGTAGTGGGGCCCTTGGGGGAGGGAGAGAGTTGGCCTTTCTTGCCATCCCCTGGCACATAACACTTGGGCATCTAGAATGGAAGGGGAAGCCCAAAGAGGCAACGAAGAAGCTGGGTAGGTAAAAATGGAGGGAAGAGAAGATGAACCAGGGATAAAGAAAGGGGACACAAAGTATACGGGTAGAAGGGTAGAGAAAGAAAAGGAGAGTTGAGTTCTAGACATTCACATGCCAGTTGGGGCGTTCAGGCAGGTATCCGATTGTCTCAGTTCTCTGCTTCGTTTGGCATGAGAGGGAGTTCTTGACATTGGAAATAGGAGATGGCTGTGTAGCTCAAAGATAGGGAAATAAATGCCTAGGGGGACTCAGAATGAGTTCAGCTCATGGGAAGCTTCTTTGAAGGAACAGTGCTCAGCTCTGGGATCCCATCTGTCTGCCTGTGAGTGCCCAGGGACAAGTGGACTTTTCCATGACCTGGGTTTCAGGAGACTCTGCTGGATCCCTCCACCCTGATGGGAGAGTCACAGCAGTAGCTTTGCCTTTGCAGCAATCCATTTGCTTTCCTTTCCTCTCTGCCAGTGTGCACAGCAATCTTGGCCCAGATTTCAGTGACATTCTGAGCCATTTGCTGCCTACAACTCAGGGAGGCAGTTCCTGTCACTGGACTGTGTGCTGGGCAGGGGTGGGGAGAGCCAACAGAAGAGAGTTTGGAAACTAAAGAAGGAGAAATGAAAAGAATAGTACGTTAGAACAAAGTAGGGGGGAAAGATTATACATGTCCTTGAATGAATGGAGGATGGGATCAAGGAAAAGGAAAGCAAAGGACTATGGAGAAAGAACCTTAGAAAAATGAGGACAGGAAGGAGGTCGTTGATCTCTGGGCTCTTGCAAGATAAGGGCCCCTGCCCAGCCGGGCGTGGCTTAGCGGTTGAGCATCGACCTAGGATCCAGGAGATCGGGGTTCGATTCCCGGTCAGGGCACATGCCTGGGTTGCGGGCTAGGCAG